AACTCCTAGAAATGTAAAAAACTAAAAGAGGAGATAGATTTTTTCTGTAAAAAACTTTAAAAAATGACCATTTTTGACATGTTTTCTTCCGGAAAACGACCATACATGAATCTATAACCACTAATTATTTTTTAAAGAATCATTTGAATCATCTTGGGACTCCACAAAATCAGATAAAAAATTCTGAAATTATGGTTTTAGACCTGCAATTGTGATCGCGCCAAACTTTTTTCTGTAGATCAAAAATTAATTTGCAGTTCGGAATTGTCCTGTGAGAGAGCCTGCACCTCTCAAAATAAAATCCAAAACTTTTCAAATATTTTTATTTTTGACAGAATAGACCTTTGACATGTCAGATTTGCCTAGCACACCTAATTAGGAAATCTACCGAAAAAGATTGCCAAGGGCAGGAAATAACAATGAAAAACATTTGGGTCAACAATTGGGGGCAACATGGTCGTGCACAAAAAAAAAATCAACAACAGTTAGAATTGGAATAAAAACGATTTAACAATAGCTGAATTTGTCAGCCACAAATAAAAAAAAACGAAAACATTAATGAACAAAAACTAGCTTATTTCTTTCCTTTGAAGCCAGTTTTCTTGAATTGTGGTTTCTTCTGCTGGACTTTTGGAATAGGCTTGGTATCCATCTGAAATCGAATTTTTATTAAAAGGAAATTAAGAGAAATATGATTTACCTTTTTGACGAGTTTCTTTTGCTTTGGTGGTTCTTCGGCAACTTCTTCAATTCCCTCATCGCTAGAAGCGACTTCCTCACTATCCTCATCAGAAGAATCAACTGTCTTGGGAACTACCTTTTTCTGTGGCGTCGGAGCTGCTGCTTTCTTTGGCTTGTTGTCATTTTTCTTATTGTCTTGTTGTCTTGCATAGAACACATCAACGAGGTGATTATGCACTCTGAGACCCTTTGATTTTGAGAAAGCAGCCTGAGCGTCAGCTTCAGTTCCAAAGGTGATGAATGCTCTTTTCTTAGAGTTCGGTTTGCCAGCAGGATGATGGATCTTGATTTCTGTAGACGCTCGGAAAATGTTTTTCAGGTCAGTCTGATTGCACTGGAATGGCAAAGCATTGACGAACAACTGAAGCGGGTTAATTGGTCGTGCATCATCTGAAATAAAAACATTTTGTCATATACACATAACTTGCCGACACATACGTTCTTTTTCTCTCTTACTCTCGCTGAGGCAGAAGTCAACATAAAGTGATTTTCCTTGGATTTTTGCTTTGCTAAGAACTTCGTGAGCTTTCTTACAATCAGCAACCGTGTTGAACACAATCCATCCGAAATTTGAGTTCTTCTTACGTCTGAACGAATCGACACCAGTGATAAGACTAGTGATTTCATCATCTTTGGCCTTCTTAGAGATTTCCTTGATGAATAGAGAACGAGAATCTCTCTCTTGACGTCTTCTCTCCTCTTCACTCACAATTTCAGCTCCGTCACTCTTTAGCTGTTTAGAAGAAACAGTTGGCTCATCAATTTTTCTTTTCAGTCCTTGTTTTTCAGTTGAAGCAGTGGAAACCTTAGTAGCTTCCGCTTTCTTTTGACCTTTTTGGACAATAGCCTGTTGCTTCACAACTGGCTTAACAACTTCTTCCTCCTCTTCTTCATCTTCCTCATCTTCATCATCTTCGCTGTCGTCCTGAGATACACCAGAAGCAGCACGGTTCGCTGCGATCTTTTTCAAAAGTTCAGCCTTCGTTGTGATAACCGGAACATCGTCATCATCTTCCTCCTCCTCTTCGTCCTCATCCTCCTCTTCTTCTTCATCCTCCTCATCTTCGTCATCACTATCATCCTGAATAGCTTGACCTATTTGGCTAAGAGTTTGTTTGGCAACTGGCGCCTTCTTGACTGGATGGACTTCTTCTTCTTCTTCCTCCTCCTCATCTTCTTCTTCAACTTCTTCATCCTCCTCGTCTTCATCACTATCATCGTCAAACTTCAATTGTGGGACCTGGCCGGCAGCCGCCTTGACGTTCTTGGCTGGATGCGGTGTCGATGGAGCCTTTTTGTCGACAGTGGTCGGGGTAGCAACGGTAGCAATGTTAACCTGTTTTCCTTTAGCGGAATCGAGAGTTTTCAGAGCACTTTTCAAAGCTGGAGTTTTAGCTACTGGCTCCTCTTCTTCTTCGTCTTCCTCCTCTTCCTGAAAATCAAATATTTGAAAAAGTAACTCTCGAAAAAAAAAAACAATACCTCATCTTCGTCGTCCACTTCGACTTCTTCTTCGTCCTCCTCGTCTTCGTCATCTTCATCGTCAACTTCTTTAACAGAGATGACTTTCTTTGTTACTGGGCCTTCATTCTCGGACTCTGTAACACAAAAATTATTTTCAGAACCTATTTTTTAAAAAACCTTCTTCCTCCTCCTCGTCATCTTCCTCTTCGTCGTCGTCGGAGTCTTCAGCAGCAGCGGCAAGTGCTCCTTTCACGACCTTCTTCTGTGGTTGAGGTTCGTCATCACTCTCTTCCTCCTCTTCGTCTTCCTCATCCTCCTCAGATTCTTCCTCTACTGGTTCCGTTTGCTTAGCATGAGGTGTTCCAGAAGCAAACTTCTTCTTCGGGACCTCATCCTCTTCTTCTTCGTCATCGTCCTCATCTCCAAAGTTCTTTCTTTTATCGTTGAAACCAACACGGTTGCCTCCTCCACGTTCCTGGAAGTTTCCTCTTCCACCACGTGGTGAGAAGTCGTTTCCACCACGTCCACGAGGGGTGAAACCACCTCGTCCGCCTCTTGGAGAAAACTTGTTGTCGCCACGGAAACCACCTGAGAAGTCTCCTCGTCCACGGTGTGCTACTCCACGATCACCTCCACGCCATGGAGATCCACCACGGTCGTTTCCTCCGCGCCATGGTGAGCCGCCACGATCCCCTCCACGGAAACCACCTCCACGTCCTCTTGGAGAGAATCCCCCATCTCTGTCACCTCTGAAGCCACCTGGAGAGCGTCCTCGATCTCCTCCACGGAAGCCTCCTCTGTCACCACCACGGAATCCACCTGGTGAACGACCACGATCTCCACCACGGAATCCACCTGGTGAACGACCACGATCTCCTCCACGGAATCCTCCTGGCGAACGTCCGCGATCTCCTCCACGGAATCCACCGCCGCCTCCACGAGGGGTGAATCCACCTCCTCCACGTCCACCTCGGAAGCCTGTAAAGAATCTTGCAATTTATGAATTTCGATGATGTCAAAATACCTCCTCCGCCTCCTCGTCCTCTAGACGAATCGAAACCCATGTTGATAAGATCTAAAATTGCATATTTTAAAATAATGATCGGCGACCTGGATTTTTGCGATAATTCATCAATCAGTTAATAAAAATAAAATTTGCAGTCACTCGAATTAATTTATTATGACACTGTTTGAAAATTTCCTTCAGGAAAACATAAAAACGACCGGAATTTAAAGTTTGATGGCTTCAAAATTCGAAAATCGCAGATAAGAGACGGCGGGTCTCGCCGCGAAATACTAAATAAATGCATGCGCCTTTAAACATTTTTCGCCGCTAGCGACAAGCAGCCAGCAACGACAAGCCGGCTGGCAACAGTCGTATCCACAATTCCAAAAATCGATAAAAAACAGGATTTTCCGATTGTTTTCTCTTTGCTTGCATCAAAACCGAGCTATTCTAAGTAGCCATGCGACCAATTTTTTATTGATTTGTGTTCTATTCGATTTTCCCGTCTGCTCTTTTTTCCAGTTTGCACATCTGTCCCTTTACAGAAGCAAAATGAACATTCGCTGTGCGCGAGTCGATGATTTGATGAGCATGCAAAATGCAAATCTGATGTGTCTACCTGAAAATTATCAAATGAAATACTACTTTTACCATGCACTCTCCTGGCCACAACTCTCGTACATTGCTGAAGATCATAAGGTATTTGAAAAACAACTTGAGTCATTATGTACAAACTTTTTCAGGGAAATGTTGTTGGATATGTGCTCGCCAAGATGGAAGAAGACCCAGGAGAGGATCCACACGGACACATCACATCTCTCGCTGTCAAGAGATCGTACCGTCGCCTGGGACTGGCCAACAAAATGATGGATCAAACCGCGAGAGCAATGGTAGAAACATATAATGCCAAATTCGTATCTCTGCATGTTCGCGTTTCGAACCGCGCAGCTCTGAACCTGTATAAAAATACTCTCAAGTTTGAAATCGTGGACACCGAGCCGAAGTAAGCTATATTTGAGTTTGTGAAATAAGAATTAATATTTATAGATACTATGCTGACGGAGAAGATGCCTATGCCATGCGTCGTGATTTGGCGAAATGGGCCGAAGAAAGGGATATCGAGCCAGCCGATAAAGAAGCTTACGCAACATCGAAGTCTTCAGACGACAAAAAGAAGCGTCATTAATATGTATTCAGTTTCGCCTTTGTTTACTGGTTCCTTATACTTTCTCCTCCCTTCAGGTGGATCTCTTCTTTCAAATGTTTCTCTCTGGTTCCTAGACTAGGTAATAACTTATCACCCTCTTCTCAAAGCTTATTAAAATAAAGTTTTAAGAATTATTGTTATCATGATTATGTCAGTTTTAATCAGTTGTGATCTGGAAGCTCATATTTCTTAAAAAAAGGTCCTGGAAAACTGTATTTTCAATTGTTTTTATACAGATGAAAGGTGGCGGTGGTGTTGGTGACGGCAAAAAAGACTACCAAGCGGCCGTTCATGAAGTGAGCCAAATAATCATTAGATATTCGAGACAACCCCAAAATTCTAGGGGCTATCAACGTTCGATCAATTGGGGATTGCATTAGAAGATGTTGGCAAGTCGTTGGAAGCAGAAACCGCCACCACAGGAGGAGGGTTCCTTCCCCGAATCATGTGAGAGAAGTTTGAATTTTTTATGAACTACGAAAAAACTAGACTTGGAAAGTAGAATGTCACTAAATACATTTCAAAATTACATGATTTCACTGTTTCACATTGTCAAACCCACATTGAATTGTTTTCAAAAATCATCAGTATGATTGAGGCGACAGTTTAACCTCCACGTAAATCCGATTCTGCCGGCGTGTCTCGTCGTCCATAAAACAAACAGATCTATTGCCCACCTTACACGAGTTTCCCTCATAGAGGAGACCCAATTTGAAAGCTAGAAAGTAACATGATTTAATTTCCTTTTTTGTTCTATCATTTCAAAATTTAACAGTTATGTTTTGTACGAAAAATAACGCTGACTGGTGCGAATCCAACTTAGAAATTGAAAGAATGATAAGACATTGTTGCGGTGATTTCATAGTTTTACCTTGCAAATCACAGGCCCTGTTGTTATCAAGGTCATTATATTTAACTGTAGTGTATTCGCTTTCCCGATCTGTTTTTTTTGTACCAAAATTGAATTATTCAAATCCCATGAAAAAGTCAATACAACATTCCAAATTCGGACATATTATATTTGCAAAACTGTTTATTTGAGTTATTCCCAAAAAATGAAGAATATTCTCTGACCCCAACCAGTTTTCGTTTCAGGAACGAGACCTCGTCTCTAAAACGGAGATCCTTCGATCCCACAAACGATCTTGTGAATATGTCGGTTGTTCCCGCGGAAACGAGTTATGTTCTATTCTTCCAGGTTTGTTATAATTAATAAATTATCTTATTGAATACTTTATTAAGGTTCTGTTTCCTTTTGTTGTGGCGGGACTTGGTATGGTATTCGCCGGATTAGTTTTATCGATAGTTGTCACTTGGCCATTGTTCGAAGAAATTCCGGAAATTTTGATTCTGGTCCCAGCACTACTTGGACTGAAAGGAAATCTGGAAATGACTCTGGCCAGTAGATTATCTACTTTGGTATGCTAATTACTCCCAGAGCTCTGAAATTAACTCATTCTTTTTTGCAGGCAAACCTTGGACATATGGATTCCTCCAAACAACGGAAAGATGTGATTATCGCAAATTTGGCTCTAGTGCAAGTTCAAGCTACAGTAGTAGCCTTCTTGGCTTCTGCGTTTGCTGCTGCTCTCGCTTTCATTCCATCCGGAGAAATCGATTGGGCTCATGGAGCATTAATGTGTGCAAGTAGTTTGGCAACGGCATGTAGTGCGTCTCTCGTTCTTTCTCTACTTATGGTCGTCGTCATTGTGACTTCACGGAAATACAACATCAACCCGGATAACGTCGCCACTCCAATTGCGGCTTCTCTTGGAGACTTGACAACGCTCAGTGTTCTAGCGTTCTTTGGAACCGTTTTTCTCAAGGCTCATAACACGGAATCGTGGCTCAATGGAGTGGTCATTGTCGTATTCTTATTGCTGCTACCATTTTGGATTAAAGTTGCCAATGAAAACGAAGGAACCCGAGAAACATTGTACAACGGTTGGACACCCGTCATCATGTCGATGTTGATCAGCAGCGCTGGAGGTTTCATTCTGGAGAATGCGGTCAGGAAATACCACAGTTTGAGCACATATGGACCAGTTTTAAATGGAGTTGGAGGAAATTTAGCTGCCGTTCAAGCCAGTAGACTTTCAACATATTTCCACAAAGCTGCTACTATTGGTGAACTACCCAACGCATGGACAATTCACCGGTTTACCAGTTTCACGAGAGCGTTCTTTTCAAAAGAATGGGATTCCCGCTCGGCTCGTGTTCTTCTATTGCTCGTCGTACCAGGTCATATTTGCTTCAATGCCCTTATCCAACTGTTTACCTATACGTCAAAAGATAACATTACGCCTCACGGAGCACTATTCACAAGTTTGTACATGATTGCAGCTATTATCCAGGTACGATTTTAAGAAAACGACACAAGTATTAATTAATACTACTTTAGGTAATGGTACTCTTGTACGTATGTCAGTTCCTGGTTTCTCTACTTTGGAAGATGAAGATTGACCCAGATAACTCTGTGATACCATATTTGACAGCACTTGGAGATCTTCTGGGAACTGGACTTCTCTTTATAGTCTTCCTTACAACCGATTACTTCGATCCCGATGAGCTTTTGGCCCCAAAACACTAACAATGTATATTGCATCCACTTCATTTATTAACACCTACAGTATTTAGTAGTTGTAGTATTATTTAAAAAAAACTAACGCACTTTCACAAGAACTCTAGTCACACCCGTTGAATTTGATTGATATCTTACTTTGCCTTGAGCGCATAATTTCTGTATATTGTGATATTTTCTTTCTCTTGTTCCATGGTCATATCGAATTTACTAGTCGCTTTTTCAATGCATTTTGGGAATAAAACACTTGTTTTGTATATGTTTTATTTATCAATCCTTGCTTTTCTTGACTACTATTTTTGGGGCATCTGTTTGAAAGTGGTCCATGAGTTAGAGAAGGTTTTACAATTTTAAAAAAACCTTAAAGATTAGATGGAAGTCGGTCAACGTCTTCGAGTTAATGTAGATGTGGCCACGATTCGTTACATCGGAGAAGTGGATGGATATGGTTCACAGAGATGGATTGGCCTAGAATGGGATGATCCGAGTCGTGGAAAACATGATGGAGTTGTTAAAGGTCATCGGTATTTTCAAACAAGGCAAGATATTTGTTTGATATGAAATTGGAGGAGATCTCCAAATTTGGGAAAAGAATCCTTTGGGAAAAGAACCCCATCAAAGTGCCTTTTGATTGCAATAAATCACAATTCGATAATAAATCATAATCCTTCAGGCATCCAACAGGAGGATCCTTGATGAAAATGGAAGCCGTTCCACAGCCGACAGATCTTCTGTTCGAGATCAGGGATCGGTATGTGGAAGATGAAAATGTCGAAAACGAAATCGAACTGGCACAGTCTTCCAAGAAAATTGAACTGATTGGAATGGAACAAACTGCAGCAAAACAGAGTAACATTGAAAAACTTGTAAATATTGTTCTGGATAATCGATCTGTCGGCTTCCCACCACCTTCTGATTCTCCTCAATTCCCTTTATGCCAGGAATTGAACCTGTATGGAAATTTATTGTTCAAATGGGAAACAGTCGGACAGATTCTGAAACATTTTCCAAAAATTCGAGAGCTGAATTTACGAAGGAATCGAATGCGATCTTTCGCTGAAGAGGAAAATGAGTGTGAAGGCGAGATTTATTCAGAATCCTGTAGAAAGTTAGTGATCAGTGAATGCTCAATAACTGAGAATTCGCTCGACCCCGTCCTTCGAAGGTTTCCAACTACTTCCGAAGTTGTTGCATTTGGAAATGATCTCAAAAGGTTCCTGGTGTCGGATTCAGTTGCTCATCGACTCACTTTACTAGATCTTGAAGACAATCTCTTTGATTCTATAAATGCGATTGAAGGCGTTTTCCCAAATCTCACACAACTCTCAATCGCCAACTGTGGAATCACTAGTCTTGCGGATTTTGAAGGATGTTCAAGGTTTCCGAGATTGGAGTATCTAAATGTTCGAGGAAATGTAATTACGGATTGGAGAAGTGTGAATGCGATGAAATCTTTGAAGCACATGAAACGGTTGCTATTTGATTGCAAGGCGATGAGCGTTGAGAAAGGAATTCATGCTTATGAAGTTGTCATAGCAAAGCTGAGCACACTGATCGACCTCAATCGATTTGATGTTTCGGAAGTCGAAAGGAGGTCTGCTGAGATTCGTTTTCTGAACAAATACGCTGGAATCGAAGACAAAACCGATCATCAAGAAGATATCACAAGATTGATTGCAATTCATGGAGAACCAACTCTGGATACAGCCAAAAAAGGCCTAACTGTGGTTCAAATTCGAATTGAATGCGGGAATAGGGTAGAAACGAGAAAGCTACCATTAGCAATGAATGTACAAAAAATAAGAGATATGGTTGGTTTTGGATTTTGTTCTAGATATGAAAATTGCAAAATATTACAGCTAACTCGCCTCTTCAAATTATCTCACTCAGCAAACGCTCGTCTTTATCTAGTGATGACTGAAAAAACGAAACAACATAGAATCGAATTGGACAATCCACTTCGAGAATTTGGGTACTACTCGCCTTCAGAAGATCGTGATATTCTTGTTGTTGAACATGATTGAATTCTCTTCTCTTCACTTATTTAAACGCCTGGTCCTAATATAAATGAGCTTTATGATTTTTATAAATTTCATTCTGTCTGTTCTTTTCTTGTTATATCTCACCTATTAACTCTAACGTACGTTATCGGGTTGGTATCGAATACATGTCATGAAAGGTTACAATGAAAGTACGAATAAGAATTTCAGTAGACCATAGAACAGATCTCTAAAATGACGTCGAATCAATCGGTGAGGTTCGAAAGCGAAAGCCATCTCCAGTGAGTACCAATTCGTATCCTTGTCAACACAAACTTTCGCATTTCAGTTGTGTCATGTGCTTCATCGCAGGGCAGAGTGGAGAAAAAATTGTATCAATTTATCCACATAGAAAACCACAGCCAAAAGGTTTGTCTTCAGTATTTAACTGAAACTTTTCTAATCCTGAAAAGTTTTCAGCCTCAGTCAAAGAACCGCCTGTGCAAACTCCAGTCAATCCGGGATTATGTAGCAAACCGACGCTGACGAGTATGCCAAAGTTTGTAACTAACTAACCATTCATTCGATTGAAATTATCAATTTGCAGTCAGGGTTTTGGATTTGGAAAGGAACAAACGGAATTCGACATAGACCTCGGAATGCTTGCCTATGTGTTCAAAACTCAGGAAATCGCTTGCAACGACGGGTTTGATATGAAAATCAACACACAGAGATTCGTTGGGTACCCGAAAACTTGGAAAACGCGGGGAGGATGCACCAATTATCAAGTGATGATTGTATTCGCACTGAAACAAGGATGTGATCAACACACTGCATCAGCTTATCAGACTCTTTCCAATAAAATTGCCGTCAGTCTCGTCATGCTGCAAAACTATTTTGGGTTTCTGGAAAGAGAGGATAAATGGGCTGATATGGCAGACAATATGACAGAACCATTGAGAGAATTTGCAAAGACAAGCTTCATAGTTAATCCGTTGATGGATATGTACGATGAAGTCAGAAAGAGAGGAAATATTCATGTGAGTCCCCTGTATACTCTCCCACGGAATTACTGTCTTTTTTAGAAATATCTTATCAACTTCGTTGAGCTCGGATTCTGCGATGAAGCTCATGCCCTGTCTAGATTGAATGTAGTGCCCAAAGGTCGACAGATATCGATGATATTATCAGAAAAATGAAGTAATGGTTTGATAACGGGAGGCTGATATGTCCCATTTTTCCAGGCCTTATCATGGTATCCTACTACTCGAAGATGTCTGGCCGACACCCGATGCGAATCCAATTGTGGCCAAACTTCTGAGCCATTGCAGTCCAGATAGATCAATTCTAGACATGTCAACAGCTTCCGGGATCCCAATTTTCGAAGTCTTCATGATCATTCGACACTTGCTTCAATGGACTAGAGCAATTCTGATTTATCCGCTCTGCAATACGAATATCTACACTTCAGCAACCAGTCCCCAACCTCTAGACAAGTGAGTAATTTATCTTCTGCTTCCATAAGTCATCGTGGGAAGTTTCAGGATGGCCGAAAAATTTGCTGCTCAGTTCGGCACGACAATTCACTTGGCTGCCGGATTGTCGCATTTCAATCCACCAAAGACATTGGAAACATTCATCAGACCCAATCTTCCACTTCATGAACAAGGAGTTCGTGCGAAGCTTGTGGTTGCCTTGTTGAGACATCAAATGCTCATGCAGCTACATCAATTTTATTATATTCTGAAACCATATTCCAATGCGGAACTGCCAAAACCTAAAGAAGAATGTCCTGACGAATTGAAGCAAATTATTGCGAAAAGTGCGCTTCCCCATGATGTTAGGAAGGTCGTAGCTGACATTTGTGGATCTATGCTGGAAACCAACGCCTATTCATCTGTCAAAAGGAAACTGACACTGCTTGTAAAATGCGCTCCAATGATGGATGGAAACTATCATTTGGAAGATATCAAATACAAGAACAATTTGGATCGTGCTGAAATTGAAGATGTTTTCAAGTCTTTCGAACTGGTGATAGCCACATTCCGTCGACCTGATTTTGTTGCCGAATAGTTGTTTTTTATCGGAACTTTGAAATATTGTATATGTACAAATAAAAACATATTTTATCAAATTATCCAATCCAGTTTTTGTGATCATGCTGACAGGTTGCATTCTGAAATTTTATCTTTGTTTATATATTTATATTATATCTTCAGTTATTCATAGTTAATCAGATGGATAACGACGTTGTTGCACGAACAAAATTCATGGGTTTTCTTCAGAATGTTTCAGAGTGAGTTGATTTTAAATAGACCAGGAGTATTTATGAAATTTCCTTACAGAGAAGTGTTTCATCCTTCGATTCTGGCCGAAGACAAATCATTCAAAAAGATGCAAAAGGAATGCGAAGAATGGGCAAAACTCAAGCTGACTTGCGATCGGTTGTTGGTTAGTGTTGATTCTGTCACAAGTTGTTACTAAATTCTCCGATTTGCAGGCTGATGCTGGAAAAATGGTGGAAGGAAAAACAGAAATTGGGCAACGAATCTACATGAATATGGAAGTGTGAGTGGATTTCTTCTCTAATTGTTTTGAACTGAGCGATTTTAGAAGAGACACGAAGCACGTAGTTGTAAAACTAGCAGAAGATGTACTTGTTGAAATGCCTTTGCGAGAAGCAATGAAAGTGTGCGATCGGAAGATGGACATGCTCAAAAATATGATGGAAAAGACGCAAAACAATATCACCCGTCTCAAGACTGATCTCACGATGCTTCTCGCCACGATGGATTTGCCTTATGTGGAGCCGTATAAATTCAAATTACCAAAAGATTTTCCATTCAGAATGGATGTGCATTAATTTCCTGAACTTTCACTTTATCCTACTTCTAACTGGTGTATTCGGAATCTCGGAATTTTCATTAATCTTTTTTCCAGCTTGAATAAAACTTAATTTTCTAAAGATATTACTTGAAACGGCACCCAATCTCATCTTTTAAATTCCTATTGAAAGATAACATTTTGTTCTCTATCGCTACCTCTTCCAGAATTGAACTTTAGATATTGAAACGAAAATTCCAGCACCCAAAAAATGACAATGCACATCAAGCAGTCAACAGTAAGATCAATTCTTACAGTAGCTCGACGTGGAAAGAAACGACTGAATTTGGATTCAGATGCTTTAGCAGTTCTCACAGCACTCATCAATTTACTTGCACAAGTATTTGTAGAATCTTCCTGAAATTATATAAACTCATTATCTATTTCAGGAAACAATCGCTAGGACATGCCAGACGGCAGCCAATACAGGCGATCGTCACGTGACAAGAGATCATCTCAAACGGATAATTGCCCAAATCATGCTCGATTTCGCAGTTTAAATTCTCGCTATCTATGACAACTAACTATGATTCCCTTTTACACAACACTGGTATTTACACATTATGTTCTGTTTTAATGAATATTTGTATCAAAAACAAGAGTTTTTAATAAGATTTATTGTCGAATTCAAAAAACAGACACCTGAAAAATCTGAGAGCGGCTGCTTAATTACGAGACGGCGCATCGAAAACGTAATATTTCAGACTTGCCTTGTTTGGGCGATTTTCGCAACTAATTTCGGTTTTTCGGTGAAAATCGGATTCTACAGGTTTTAGCGATTATATGTTTCCCAAAAAATCTGAATTTGATTCACAAAACCCTAATAAATTCCTAGAACTTAATTTCGTTCAGTACAGTACCGTTCAGGTTGCCATTCAACAATAGCAGATTAACAACTCTGGCTACCGTAATCCCGGACAATTTTTATTTCAAGACTGTATAATCGAACCAAGTTTGTGTTGTACACGATCGTAATCAATGGACGAAGAAAATTGTGATTTAGTTGCCTCTTTTCTGCAAAGGTTACTGTACAGATCTACAGTAATCCACAGTACCAGATCCATGACTTTCATCTACTTGAATCTAGAGGAAACGTCACTTTAAAAGGTTTACCTTCTTATCTCCACTCTCTTTTTACGAAAACTATCTAAAGATTTACTGATAAGGATTACTGATAAGGAGATAGATGAGCAATCGAAAGTGCGCCCCAACGGGGATTTCGAATCGCATATCATTTGCATATTGTGCATTTGATGATATTCATAGTGATGCCACAGAGGCCATGATTTTTTTTTGGTTGCCTGTTTTCTAGAAGTTTCTTATATGAATCACTAGGTTCACATTTTTTTTCCGACTTCTTCATTGATTCAAGGCCTGTGTTCTCGTAATTGACCGTTCTTGTCAAGTTGCTGTTATAAAGTACGCTTACTGCCTTCTCCATATTCCAAATGACCTCTATCCTACAAGTGGCGCATGTGTTCCAGCTGTGTTTGTTCTCTTCTATATATGTCTACTCAACTTCTTTCAATGTTTCATTCAGATTTCTTTGGCTACAAGTTCCCTTCGGCGTCTTTTCATGTAACCATAAAACCTGTAATAGAAGCGCACTCTGACTTATAACGTTGAGCTAATTTATCTCGGTTCCTAGGAACGATATCGAAAAGTCTTCAACTGATAAACTGTTAATCATAATATCACAAAAATTACATCAGTTGACAACTTTTTGATATCTTCAATAGGAACCGAAATGAATTGGCTCAGACTTAACAGGGTGGAAGCCCTTCTATTACAGATTTTACGGCATTTTAAAATACTTTGTTGTGAATGAACTTGTGTTCACTTTTAAATTTTAGAGAGTTTGTGTCGGCAACAACCATGGACCGTCCTCCAGGATCAAAAGATCCAAATCCGACAAACGTGGAATCCAATCTTCTACGAAACCAAGAACGCTTTACAATTTTGGAGCCGCCAACCGATGCCAGGGAGACCAAGTATTTAGAAAAAATTTTTCTTTTCTAGATTTCATTAATTTCAGCACTCAACAAATCTGCAGAAAAATAAGGAACTTCAAAATTCTTGGTTTTCTCCTTATCAGTGTCATTGTCTTATCAATTTTCGGACTTGGTTATCTTGTTTGGAAGAATCAGGAACAGAAGGAAACAGTAGGCGAAATGTAGAAAATCATTTGGAAAATTCGATTTTCAGATTGTTCATTTGGAATCGGAGATGCAGGAACTTCTCGATCGCTTGGATGATCCCACATATTTTGTGAACCAAACGAAAAAAGAAGAACAAATGCTGAAAGTGGACGAGACAGAGTACTTGGATGAGCTGTTTGCAAGAAAACGAGAGTACGAAGAGAAAATGAGATTGATGAGTGAGGCAGAGAGCAAGAAGAATGGAACAAAATCATCTCATAAAGAAGAAGAAGCGAATATTCCAGAATACGAGGAAGGGTTTGAGACAGACGATGGAATCGAAGATGGAGAATATGCGGAATATGAAAATGAAAAGATCGTGGAAGCAATCGGAAATGCCACAGTCATTTACGACGACGACGACGAGGTAAATAAGATCTTCTGAGTTCCTAGAAGGCAGAACTTCGCTTTCAGAAAGCGGTAGAGCTGCCTACAGATGATTACACTGAGGAGACTGCGCCAACGCCACCTCTGGATTAACTGAATCTGCGCAACTTCTAAACTGTTTAAATTGTTAATATTTTTATAGCTTCTTTTCCAACATTGCATTTAACTTATTGTGCTACTAGAATAACCAAAAACGTCCTGCCAAACAAACGGTGAATTATTCCGCCCTTCATCTTCTCGGTCGTCTTCATTCATTTTTTTCACTTATGGTTTTTTTCCCTCTCGGTTCATTTGTCTTCTCCCATTTTTTGAAATTGTAACTTTAAAAAATCGTTTTGGGACGGGCTTTGATAAAATTTATGTTCTAAAAAATTCTATTTTAAATAGGTTCTCAAATGAAAAAAAAACACAAACTTCTGAGGTATTCGGGCTGAAAGTGCCTCGTCCAAACTATATTAAAACCAAAGACTGGGAACTGCTTCAGGTGTCCTTCAGGTATCCGCAACCTTGGTTATTTTCTAGTGTGATCGAAAGTAAAAAGGATCACTGTAAGCAAACATAAAAGAAGGTTTCAGATCTTTCGTTTTGGCCTATAAAACAGTTACAGGTCCTATCGTAGCATTCAAAAAGAGTCTGCCTCACTGAATAATAACTTTTCTGGCAAAATATGCGAAACTTTGGTAAAAAAAACCACATGCTGAATAAACGAAAACAAGTCGAAAATAGGCAATCATGCACACAACTTCCCAGTGGATTGATTTGGGAAGACCTTGGATATTCTATTAAAAAACGTATCTCAAACGTAGGCTCACCCCATAGACCCATATTTTGTTTTTTTCTCCATAAAAACTTTGCATCTGATTGATTTGAGCGTCCCAATTACGGGTTTTTCTCTTCAAGAAAACAAAAAACAGTATCTATAAACCCAATCCAAATCGTGTGTTCCTGATCATTTAATCAGTCCTACTTTCCGTACGTACTATTAGAACATGTTTGCTTTTTTCAACGGAAATTTGAAAAAACGATTTGGAGTGCACATCGAGACTGACCAATACAAACGTCCCAAGAAAAAGATTCTCTGACCGATCTCTCATTTCTGTTTGCTCATTGAAACGGAGCAATGGAACAAGTGGAAAGCAAGTTTTTGGTTATGATGATATCACTCTGATTCCCCTCTTCCGATCCTCCATTTCACTGACGGCGCCAAAAGACCACGACTACTTTGGTTTTTTACTCTTTGATTCAGATACAGTACCGTCCCGAACCGAAGCAAGACATTGAGTGAATGGATTATGCGCAGTCTGTATTGTCAGTGAGACACAACGGGCGTCGATGAGACTTTGATTCTGAGGAGGCGACTATGATTCGGCGCCCCGCGGCCGAAAACCAGTGGTTGATCTTTCTTTTCAACGCGAAGCGAGAGGAGAGAAAACGGACTAAACGGCAGAAGGACACCTTGGAGAGAAGAGCTGCTCCTTCCGCAAAGTCATTCTCTTCTCATTCACTTTTGTATTATCACACACTATGAGCAACTACCGCGGAAACCACAATCGCTGATAACAATTTGGAGACGCTGAGGAGGGGAGGCTTTTAGGAGAGCAAACCCGATAAGAGCCTGAAGGTTGTTCCACTTTGGAAACCTTTTTCTTGTCTCCTTTTGTAGATTTTACTTCGTTTTTAGATACCTGCGCTTTGAGCTCAGTTATTTCGGTCCCTATAAGAGATATCAGAAATATATCAACTGATAAAATGTTTTTAGTAAAATTTCCAACATTTTATCAGTTGATAAATTTTTGATATATGTTGAAGGAACTGAGATAATTGGGCTCAAAGTGCACGTAGGTCGACAGCTAGCATCGTCTCAGATAGAGTTCAGAGCTCTGGACTGATGTATTTAGTCCTACGATGTAAACTAGAAAATGTTACAGTTTTCACATTCTCTAGTTCAAGACCAGTCATTTTTTACACAACCTAGTTTACAAGAAACCAGGGCAATGATATGAATGCATTTTTATTTGAAAGTGACGTCGTCTCCAGAAGTGATCCAGAAACGGTTCTTCATAGAATCACGTGAAGCTCAATAGCAAATACTGTTTGAGTAATCCTAAGCCCCGCCCATCTTCCGAAAAACATCCCTAAAGTAAGCTCTGTTTTCGGTGCGTTACCTGTGTTTTGTCAAAACATATTTTCCTTTTGCCATTTCTCTTCTTCTCCGATCCAAAAAACCAGTTTTCGATAGCATCATTCTAGCCTTGAAACCTTCCCGGGGTCATCATCTTTTTTGACTTTTCCACTACCGATTCTTGTCACCAAGGGTGTCAGAAACAAGGCCGGCCGCGGCCCGGGCCGTTGCTAAGTTGCCGTGGACGAGACCGTCAGCCAGCCTTGCTGACCATCACCTTTTTCAATTCTCATCCTATTTTCCCTCCAAAATGATATCACAAATCCCTATTGTCACTTTTCATATCACTTTCACCCGCCGGAAAACCTGGATTCTATCCTGGAGGGGCGGTACGTATCCCGCATTGTTTGTCATAAAATTTGTGAATTCAGAATTCAGATGAGTGACGACGGCACCACACCGATTACGATTGCCTTTCTCTTCTTCCGTTTATTATACGCAACAGTTTCCTTTTTTGGTTTTTAAATCTGACTGGTTTCGGTTCCTATTATAATACTTCGTTTTGTACATTTCTCTTTTTGGTTTTCTATACATTTTTTCATAGAATTTCTAAAAAACGTTTTTGTTGGTCGAAAAAGTTATTTTTTATTCAAAAAATGCCTATCGACCTATGAGAATTCTCTGCATTTTCTCATTGTTTGCCATCTTCTTTTTCTTTTCCTTTTTTTGTTCGCATTTTGATCACATTTTGATCGTATCAACCTGATATCAAAGTGTAATTTGGCATCTCTCAAAAGTTCATATTAGAATCAAAATGTGTGGATGAGAAATCAACGGCAAACAAGAAAATACCTACTAACTTCCATCTCTCTTATTGCCAACCTTACATGTTTACCATTTTCTTCCCCATTCTCTAGGTTCATCTTGTTAGGGATTTTATCTAGAACTCCCGTTATAACTTTTGTGCCATATTTTCTTCTGATCAATAAATTATCAATTATCTCTTCTTTTTTTCCTCTTTTCTAGTTTCAATTTAAACTCTTTGTGCAAATATTTTTGCTTTTTCAATTTTCTTTCAAATGCACTTTATACTTCGCAAAAGTCTTTTTCATTTTCAGTTAGTTAGACCCAAAAAAACAAAAGAAGATGGGGTCGTTGACGCGCTCCGAGGAGATGCGTTTCTGCCAGCTCATCGTGGAAAAGGATGCAGCATTCAATATTGTGGCTGAAATTGGAAAGAATCCATACGTTCAATTTAAAGATGTGAGAGAAAAAGAGATCTTCCAAAAATCGTTTCTATCTTTTTTTCAGCTGAACCCAAATGTGAACAACTTCCAAAGAACATTCGTGAAGGATATCCGCCGTTACGACGAAATGGAGAGAAAGTTGAGATTCTTAGAAGCTCAAATCGTGAAGGACGAGATTATTGTCTCTGGAAAAGTTGATAATGGAGACTACGCAATCCTTCCGACCTCTGAACTCAACACTCTGGAGGGAACTCTTGTTGAGCTGGAGAAGGATGTAAAGAGCATGAATGATTCGGACGCTCAACTCAAAGCTAACTTCATGGACTTAAAGGAATGGGATGCTGTTCTTGATAAGACTGATGAATTCTTCCAAGGTGGAGTTGACGATCAGGCTCAAGAAGAACTCGAAGCTCAGGATGAGGATGGAGTCACTCGATCGGAAAAGGGACCAGTCAACTATTTGGTTGGAATCGTTCGTCGCGAAAGACTAAACGGATTCGAGCGTGTTCTCTGGCGTGCCTGCCATCACACCGCCTACATTCGTTCCAGTGACATTGAGGAAGAATTGGAGGACCCATCTGGAGAGAAGGTTCACAAGTCGGTGTTCATCATCTTCTTGAAGGGAGATCGCATGCGTTCTATTGTTGAAAAAGTGTGCGATGGATTCAAGGCAAAACTTTTTAAGAACTGTCCAAAGACATTCAAGGAGCGTCAATCTGCCAGAAACGACGTCCGTGCTCGTATCCAAGATCTTCAAACAGTTCTCGGACAGACCCGTGAACATCGTTTCCGTGTTCTCCAAGCAGCTGCCAACAATCATCATCAATGGTTGAAGCAAGTTCGTATGATCAAGACTGTCTTCCACATGCTTAACTTGTTCACTTTTGATGGAATCGGTCGTTTCTTCGTTGGAGAGTGCTGGATCCCAGCTAAGCACGTGGATCATGTCCGCAGAGCTATTGAAGTGGGAGCGGAGAGAAGTGGATCTTCTGTGAAGCCAGTTCTCAACATTCTGGAGACTTCCGTCACTCCACCAACCTACAATGAGACGAACAAGTTCACAGCTGTGTTCCAAGGAATTGTCGATTCTTACGGAATCGCATCATACCGTGAATTGAATCCAGCTCCATACACCATCATCACTTTCCCATTCTTATTCTCCTGCATGTTCGGAGATTTGGGTCACGGAGTTATCATGCTTATGGCCGGTCTCTGGTTCGTGCTTCGAGAGAAGAACCTCCAAGCCAGAAACATCAAGGATGAGATCTTCAACATGTTCTTCGGAGGTCGTTACATTATTCTTCTTATGGGAATCTTCTCGATTCACGCTGGAATCGTTTATAATGACCTATTCGCAAAATCATTCAACATTTTTGGAAGTGGATGGAAGAATCCGTACAACATGTCGGAAGTCGACTCATGGATCGAGCATACCGAGCATGGAAAGGAGATGCTTGTGGAGTTGGCTCCAGAACACGCTTATGATCATGCTGGAGGACCATACTCTTTCGGAGTTGACCCAATTTGGAACATTGCTGAGAACAAGTTGAACTTCTTGAACTCGATGAAAATGAAACTGTCTGTTATCCTTGGAATCAGTCAAATGACATTTGGAGTCGTCCTTTCTTTCTTCAACCACACTTTCAACAAATCCAAAATCGACATTTTCACTGTCTTCATCCCCCAGATGCTCTTCATGGGATGCATTTTCATGTATCTTTGCCTCCAAATCATTCTCAAATGGCTGTTCTTCTGGACCCAAGAAGCCACCATCTTCGGACAAATCTACCCAGGATCTCACTGTGCTCCATCACTTCTTATCGGTCTTATCAACATGTTCATGATGAAGGATCGTGAGGCTGGATTCGTTCAACCAGGAGGAAAAGTTAATGGAGAATACAAAGAAGTGGAAGCTTGCTATCTCTCCCAATGGTATCCAGGACAATCCGTTATCGAAATGATCCTTGTTGTGATTGCTGTCATCTGCGTTCCAATCATGCTCTTCGGAAAGCCAATCCACCACGTCATGCAACAAAAGAAGAAACAGAAAGAACTTCATGGAAACGTGGTAAAATTATAGGTCATTTATCATTTCACAACCTGAAAATTCCAGACCGTTCGTGCCAATGTTGTGGCTGACAGCAGTGAAATTGTAATCAACGGAGGACACAAAAAGGAGGAAGCTGGACACGGAGGAGATCACGGAGGTCATGAAGATGAGTCATTCGGAGATGTCATGGTGCATCAGGCTATCCACACAATTGAATACGTTCTCGGATGCGTCTCCCACACTGCCTCTTATCTCCGTCTTTGGGCTCTTTCCCTCGCTCACGCTCGTAAGTTACAGAATTTCGGGGAAAGAGTAAAGAATAATCGTTTTCAGAGCTCTCCGAAGTTTTGTGGCACATGGTGTTCGTCACTGGAGGACTTGGAATCTCTGGAACCGCTGGATTCATTGCCGTCTACGTTGTCTTCTTCATCTTCTTCGTTCTCACTATCTCGATTCTTGTGTTGATGGAAGGATTGTCTGCTTTCCTCCACACCCTTCGTCTTCATTGGTGAGTTTCAGAAGTCTATTATATTTTTTTTAATCCAATAACTCTCAGGGTCGAGTTCCAATCCAAATTCTACCTTGGTTTGGGATATCCATTCGTTCCATATTCCTTCAAAACAGCTCTTCAGGAAGCGGAACTTGCTGCCCAATAATTTCCAAACTCTTTTTTGTTTAAACCGATTTTTCTCGCTTAGTTTTCTTCCTTTGCTCTTGCCTATTTCTTTTTCAAAATACTAGAAACATTCCATTTGGTTTTTTTCGCATGGCTTTTTTCTCTCTTTTCTCGAAATTTTGAGTTTTCAATCAATCTGTTATTCTCTTCAAATCGAGAGAAAAATGTGATGCGTTCAAAACTTTCTTTATTTGTCCAATTTCCCTTGTGATTTTTCTAAAGACTCCTGTGATAAAAGCGATGCAAATTCGCTCGAATTTCCGGTGCCTTTTTTCAAATTGATAGATTGTTCAATGTTTTTTATTCTTTAATAAATTTGAGTTGGAGCAGCAACAACTTAGTTGTCGGGGGATGATTTCTTTCAAAAAGAGTGACACAGAATGATACCGAATCGAATCTCAGACGGGTGGATTGGAGAAGATACCGTATTTTTTAATTTGGGCGGGATAAGTAGTTGGACTAGCAACATGGAATCATTTCTAGACAAATAGTTTGTGGAAGGGGGAAAATTAGATAAATAGGGATAGGAAAGTTTCAGGAATATACACGTCTCAAAGTATGTGGGTTCGGCGAGGGGGATTGGAGCGATTTAGGGAGAGGGGATGAGGTATTTATATGTACAGGCAACAAAATAAAAGTGTGTCGTTTGTTTAGTCTCGAAGTGGTGGCGAAATGGCCACTCGATGCACTTTCTCGTCGCGAGCCGATGGACTTCGGATGATTGGAACTGATGTCATTGGAATGCCAACGTTCATCTGGAGTTTGTTTTTATTAATAAGATCCAATAATCACCATACTTGGAACACAGGCGGGCTCTGTCATAGTTTCGTTCAGAATTCTTGGAGCAACTGTTATAAATATCATAGAACTAGACGAGTACTACAAAATGATAATATTTAGAAAAATATACCATGTCTATGAACAAAGTTATAAGCTATAAAGTGGCTAATCCGGGCTCTGCCTGTCTTGGTCGGCCCTTTTTGTCTGTAACGTTGTTTATAGACAAGATACAGTTTTTCAAATAATTGTTCTATCATATCTAATTTAGTTCCTCCAACAATATTGATTCTAAAAGAAACTTTGGCTGGTCCCGCGAACGCCCGCCAGCGACCTGGTTTTCAACTATAAAAATCCCAACTCACAATTGTATCATGTTCGCTGTTCGATCTACGAACCTTCGTTTTCTTTCTCATGACAGTATGAAATATCGGAGACTGATCCTCAATATTCTTGTGTAATGGCAACGGACCAACTGCATTCACTGGTCGTTTTGAGGATGATGTGTATGACGAACCAGATGACGATCGGTTGGACGAAGAAGACGTTGATGAGGCTGGTGATACGGCACGTTGGGATGGAAGATCATCGTCTAGAATTCAGATTGGAACAATCATCTGAAAAAAGATACGAACCTTTTTCAAAGAGATCAGTGTGATTAGGAAATGGGTCTCTTTTGAATGCAACTACAACTGGTTCATAGGAAAGAAGAATATAGATTTTTGGTCCGAAGAGGAATCCAAGAAGAATTGTGGCACATGCAATGAGTTCCACGACGATGACAGTGTCTCTGAATTCGTGACCAAGGACCAAATACAGAGTAATCCATGCGACCCAAGTGAAGAAGCATCCGACTGTCGAGTACAATAACCACTTGGTCTCTTTGTAGTTTCTCTTGATGTTTCTATTGAGCATATTGATGAACAGTGCCATCAGAATCAGAATCATTACGTAGAAGTTGGAGACTACAAACTCGACTCTGCACAAAAATTGACAAATTAGTTTGTACTATTTTCAAACAAAAACTCACTTTCCCATTGTACACATCATTCTCTGTACATTGGTATCAATCACTCCAATCGTTGACATGAACGGTTCCAAGAACCAACTGATCGAAAGGGCGATTTGAACTCCAACGATGAAGAAGAGAAGAAGCCAATAGTTCCAGAATGAGATATGAATCGAAGTTCCAAATCCGAGTGTCTCAGCGTTTCGAAGTTGAGTCGCTTTGGCAATCATCACTCCTGAAAATCAATATTTATTACAAATTCTAAATTGAATTCTCACCGAAACAAATAGTGTAGCCCAATCCGTGGAGAATAACTCTCAATCTACAAACTGAATCAGTTGGATCGAATACGAAGAAGAAAGCGGTAGAATAGAGAATAATGATTCCGATTAGAAGTGAAATTCCCAATGATTGATTTCCTTTGACGACTCGAAGGTAGAGTTTCACGAGAACAAGGACTAATACAGCAACTGCAACCACTACAAGAACTGTGATGAGAGCCAGAAGGACATAATTATGTGGATGATCTCTCCAGTGTCCAGAAGTAATGTGTTCGAAGACTGATTGATATTCAACCTTCTCAGATCCAAATGCTGGTTGTCTCTTGATGTAAGATGACTGATCACTTCCCTCTGGTTCATCTGGACGGAATACAAAAGAGTCGAGAGGTCTCTGAAAGTTTGAAAAAGTTAGATTAATTTCAGCACTTTTCACTTACCTGGAAGAAGTCTCCATCGAGGAAACACTTGCACATTGGTGGTTGACACTTGCTCTCTGTGTTCATTCCATTTCCACTCCTATACTGATTTGTCATTCTCAATCCAGTGGTTAGTGTCCAGTTGGCAATCAAATGGTATGTGAAATGGTTGTTGATGTCTGGAAGGAACTCGTAGATCTCCACGTCATCTTCGGTCGACGTCTTCTTAAGTTGGGTCAGAATCTGCTTGCGTCCTTGTTCGTAGAACTCAAGACAGAGACCATTTTGAGCTGGGCACAAGTTCTTGTAGACGGAATCCATGGCAAAGAGGAATCGCTCGATTCCACGGGACAGGTATCCAGCCTTTGTCATACGACCTGAAATTTGTATATTTATTCGTAGAGATAATGTCAACACTGAAAGTTTCAGTCAGAAACTCACCAAGAGATTCAATGTTCAAAAGTTCGTCTCCGGTACACATCTTTCCATAGATAACCTTGCTCTTTTGGCTGAGAGCACATCCATATCTTGACTCAATATACGACCAATACCATAGTTCCGGAAGAGTCAATGGGGTCGTTGTTTCCAGCCACTCACGGAAGTCTCCATAGAGAATATTTCTTGGTTGCACAGAAACAGTTCCTGGGAATTGTTCCTTATTCGGTGCATGAAGATACCAGTCATGAGCATCTCCCATCATTACATTCACATGGTTTCCACGTTGTGTTTTCGAGGCGACGAGATAGTCGGCAGCGTCTCGGGCGGTGGCGAAGATGATAGTGACGTTGGTGGTGCTACGGACATTATCCAGACGAGACCCTCCGATATTGATGACTTCGGCTAGACAGACTCCACGATCAAGAGCAAGACGCTCGAAACTTCTGAAGAGAGAAAGGGATTCTGGATCCTGTTCGCTCAATGCAGCAGTCACAAATTGCCATTGCATTCTATTCAAAAGTTTTAAAAGTGCCAATGCTTGATTTCTGGAAGATGGAAGAGCAGTGAACGATCTTTGAAGAGCTGAATGCTCAGAGTCAACAGAAACCAGAGCAGCATCAGTGTCTCCAGATGAGAAATATCCTTTTAGAGATTCTTGAGAGTCTCCATGGAGTGCACTTGCATATCCAAACACTGATTTCGGGACGATGGTAATGTTTCTTCCAGCTTGATTGAATCGGAAGCATTGAGTTTCGGAACGAACCACTGACTCGATTGCTTGTTTTCCCGATGAGCAACTGTCGATGAGAAGAGCCCCGAAGTCAAGATCTTTGAGAAGTCCAAGTTGTGGGAATCGTTGTTTGAATGTCCAAACGGTATGAACGAAAGCCATTGGAAGGGAGATGTCAGTGTGAGCCATCGATTGACAAGTCTGGCCACTGTGAAGATCGAAAAGACCAACCAAATAGAGTGGGTAGTGACGTGGGATGGACAGGAAGTGGTGCTGAAAATTATCAAGATATTTTTAATTCGATTCTTCTAGAGAACTCACATCAGCATTAACGATCTGAAGGTTAGGACACTGTCCACAGAATGGTCGGTATGGCGCGCAAATGGATCGAAGTCTCTGGTCAGCAGATCTCAATGAAGACATGATAACAGTTGGGGGAGATCCAGTTGTGAAACTCAGAAGACGTGAAGTCACTGGTTCCTCATCCTGATTGTAGATCTCAATTGCCTCCACTTGCATTCCAGATGCCAAAAGAATATTTTCAGTTCCTCTGTAGAATTGTAATCGTTCTCCTGCAAACTCTGGTGGATCTTGTTTGTTGAATGCGTAGTCCATTGATTCCAATGTCTCCATTATCAATTCGGTGCATTCTGCGGAGGCGTGCGAGCACGTTTTTTCGTATTGTTTGTTGGCTCCGATGATCTGAGCAACTGCGGCAAATGCGTAGGTCATTCTGATGGATGCTTCAGCCGTTCTGGCTTGAACATAACTCTTCATCATCACATCCTTATCCAGATCGCAATCTTCGTTAGTGCAATTGTAAACTTGCTCGATGTATGAAGTCAAAAGTTGGTAGTTCTTGAAGTTGTTACGAAGAACTCGAATGAAGTAATCACGGAATTGTGGCAGTTCTTTGTATTTTGGTTGAAGAGAAACTATTTCGAGTTTGGCGTCTTTATGGAGCAATTCGAGCTGTTCTGATTCATCGAGAGCTTCTCCTTCAGTTGGAATTGAGATCCACATTTTGGACATGGCGTAGATGGATGGATGACGGACAGTTTTCATCAGTTGTTTTTTATTCAGAATACTGACAACAATGGAAGAATCACTGTCTTCGAGAGCTTGAGCCAAGAATGGATGGTCGATTGGAATAGATTCAGAGACGAAGATGTCGGCGTCACGGAGATAGGAGATCACTCTAAAATAATTTTCTCAAAAATGCTCACTATTAAAGATGTTGTACCTTTTGGTAACCGGGTTTTGAGATCCATCATCCACTACAGTAACCAAATTACTTCTCATCTGATTCATGAGCCTAATCAATGCTTCAACATAAACTCCGATGGTAGGCGATGTGGCAATCGTGTTTTCCACATCAAGTTCTGTTAATGCATTCACTGATTCTGATGAATACGCGGCTACTGGAATCGCAGAAACCGAGAGGAATTTTCCAAGAGACATTGATGATTCATAGTCTTTTGGTGCAATCAATCCCAACAGTTTGGCTCCAGGAGTTTCCGTTCTACACTCTTTTGGCTCATGATATCCTACAGAATCTAGGAATCGAAGAGATTGAGAAAGCGATTCAGCTGACCGCGAGCAGGTATCTCCGGCGTACAGGCCTGGAAAAAAGAATTGGATTCGAGACATCGATAGGGAACTGGTCTCCTACCAAGTTTGCAATCTCCATTCTCATCTTTTTGATTCCAGTGGGTGAGCGCCCATTGAATGGCGACGATTTCTTGGACAGTGTCTGGTCGAAGAGTAGTACAATCGTCTTGATGAAGTGGGAAGCTACCGCCGATTTGGAACTGAAATTATGAGATTATGATTTATGAGAAAATTAATTGAGGAATAAATGGGAACTACAGTACTTCCTCTACATCCGAAACGTCAATTTTGAGCTCAATTATCTCGATTTCTGTGAAAGATATCAACATTCTGTCAGTTGATAAAATGTTGGTGATATTATGATGAACATTTTATCAGTTAACAACTTTTTGTTATTTTTTTACAGGAATAGAGATAATTGAGCTCAAAGTTGACGGTTTGTTGGGCTTCTATTAGATGAAATACGGTAACTGACTGATGTTTTGGTGGGATTTCGAGAAAATCCTTTTTTTAAGTACACCTTCAAGAAAATCTTCCATTTCACAATTTTCTGCATCTTTCTCACCTTATTATTCTCGGGCAAAACCTTGAATGGATCATAAACAGAACATAATTTGTTGGGTCCAAGCGCCTCGATCAGCGACGAGATGTTAGCCGTTGATGAAGTGACAGGCGGTACTAAAAGTAACAGAAATGTTACCAGGTACGGTAGAATCATCACTAGTCGCGCTGGCGGGTCTGGTTTATATCATTCCTGTAAGCAAAACTTGATTTTTGGATTTGAAGGATCCTGATGGGAACACGATGTTATCAAAATATTGCGAAAAGAGGACATGTGCACTTTTCTAAACTCTGATGGTTGACCTGGATTGGAAACTGAAAAGGAAAAAAACAGATAAGAAGCAGGAGATGGTGGAAAGAAGGAGAACGAAAAAAGAAGGAGAAGAAGAAGAAGTTTGTTATCACAGAACGATGAAATTACATCGGAGAAGACGAATCGAAGCGAGGGACAAGGTTAAGGTGTCTTTTGTCATTTATTTGATAACAAACAAGACACAGTATTCAGATATTTTTTTGAATATGAAGGAAGAGGAAGAAGTCAGAAAAAAGAAACAGAAGAAGTGACTCTTATTACTGGTCTCATATGATTATGATGGTTGTCAAGAAGGGGAAAAGAAGAAGAAGAAGAAGAAGCGTGAATAAATGAATAAAAAAGTAATCAATTGTTGTGATTTGTCTCCGCTGAAAGTGATGAGCGAAAGGTGGCGCGTAGAAGGGATACGGTACAATAACGGAGAGTAAAATAGTGTGCAGGACGAAGATACGGAGAGAGAAGCGGGCCCGGCGATGGAAGGCGATGGAAAAGCTGGTTTGATGTGATGGGAAAAGGCGCACCGAAGAATAACTAACATGATGGAGAGGGTGGACAACGATGATGGAAGAAGAAGAATTAGTGGAGGGAAGGATAAAGCTGCTGGCGACAGATTATGATACTGTTAGAGTAAAAAAGAAGATGAATTGAATTGGTGGGGGGAAAACATGGATATGAAGGATGTGGATGATGGCGGAAAGAGGAATCGGAAGAAGAGGTCGTGGAGGAAATTGATGGAACGGAAGAAAAGGAAAATGACACTTAATAAATAATGAAGAAGCAGAAAACATCATACGTTCTTCTTCGGAAGTTACAAGGCCCGGCTCTGTAAAATTTGAAAAAAAATTCGGAATTTCACGATTTTTTCAATTATAAAAAAGCCAGGCCCACCGGGGTCCTGATTTTTGAGAGCGAGATCAAGGTCGAAATTGTTCCACATGCACTTCTAAATGACAGTTTTATTCGATAGTACATTCGCGACGGTTTAGTCAGTTAGATAGTCAAAAATAAAGGTTCAAGGTAAATTGCCTTTTGAGATATGAGTGGACAAGGAAGAATCAGGATTCTGAATTTTGTGAAAAATGGAATGACTCGGGACATTCAGCGCTTATGATTGTCCGAAGATGAACGGTGTCCTGTTGTGATTTTCATGAGATGGAACAACTATGACAAAACGATGATTCGGCTCAAAGTTGATCAAATAATTTGAAACTTAGCCAGTTTACTAATGAATAATGTGAACTTTTACACTCAAAAGTTGAGCTTAGAACATTGCTCAAATGTTATGCCAGTACAAACTTCAGTCCGGGTAGTTATACGCGAACCTGTACTTGGAAGCTTTGTTCCATTGGATGAAGCAACAATTCCCTTCAAATAGACATCTAGTGGAAAACTAATAGAACTTTTGAACTTGCATTCGCTTCTAAAGCCTTATCATCCCTATCAAGGTTACATTTAAGCACACCTATCATCATCAATCCACGTCATAAATTATTCGGCTTCTCTGATTTCCCCTTTACACATCAAAAGGCCTTCAATATCATTCAGAATATTCTTCTTCTCTAGGCTACGAAACAATGCGTTCCAATATGATAACAGAATCCAATCTTCAATTTCTTGCAATTCGAAAATTCAATTACTTGTTGACAAATTGAATTGGTTTGATTAGAAGAAGTTTCGAAGTATTTCGAAAAATACTGTAGAGTCGAAAAAACGATATTGGTTGTACAGTGCCGAAATAATTTCAGATGATATGAAAAAGAATTTTCGTAGTAGTAGAAACGTAAAAAAGATGAAAAGAAGACGATGACAAGGACGGACAGATGAAGAAATAAGAGAAAAAAAGAAGAAATGAGTTTTTTGGTTGGTAAAACTGAATTCTTTTCATCGATTCTACCAGAAGAAGATCTCGATGACCATCTGATGGCCCCTTCTGAATTCGTTGATGCGTGACGGAAAGCCTAAGAAGACGTTACACCGTAACACACAGGCTTGATGTCATGCTTCTTTACAAAAAGGAGGTTGAAAATTAGAACGATTCAGAATAAAAGACGAAGAAGAAGAAGAAGTAGGAAAAGCTAAATAAGAAAAAGAAGAAGACGTCGAAAAAATGGAAAGTTAGTAGTTACACAACATTCTGACACCAAGGAAGGGACGATCGAAGAAATGTCAACTTTCTACCTTCTTAGAAAAGGACGGGGGGATAATTGCGGATAATTGGGTGGTTGTAGGTTACATCGGGACGAAAAAAAGGAAAAGAAAAATCGTCGTAAGGTTTTGTTGTCAACCGTCTTTTTCGTTTTCATCTTCTTTTCTCTCTCGACTAACCGACACAGATAAGGATCAAGCAGGCCGCCGTCTGTCGTGGTGGTTTCGGCTAGATCCCGCTTCTTCTTCTTATGCCTTCGGCAAAAGCGTTCCGAATAAGTTATCTATCTCTATGCAATGCTTTTTTCACTGCAATCCTTTTCTCCTTATTTGTCTCCTGTTGAGACTTTTTTTGAAACAATATGTCTGCAGACGTTGCTTCGGATCAAATCCGGGAGATATATTCTTCCAACCAATTAGAGAAGGGTATCAGAGAAAAAGAGAGAAAAACAGATAGCACTAAGAGGCGAATTGTTTGTTTTCTGGCTATGCTTGAATGCGTTTTGATGCTGGGACAACTAAAAAAGATGAGAGATAAAGATATGAAATGGTCAAGGGATGGGAAGAAGAAGAAGATACGGTTGTTTGCTGCCAGACGACACAAAAAAAGCCAGATGATCCGTGGTGCCAAGTTTATCAGCCATGGCAGATTGATGGTTTATACCAAGAAGTGGACAAGGTTTGAATGAAAATTCTTCAATTTAAGACTAATTTGATCTACAAAAAAAATTGGGTTTGGATTTTTCAGATTTTCCTTAATTATTCCAGATTCAATCTACCGTGTTTCAAATAAAACCCCCCCACCAAAATTTGGCAACTTTGAGCTCAAATATCTCGATTCCTGTGAAAAATATCAAAAAGTAGTCAACTGACAAGTTATTTATCATAATATCAGCTCTATTTTATTAGTTGACAGATTTTAAAGATCCTTCACAGGAATTGAGATAGTTGAGCTCAAACTTGACAATGTGGGGTTCTTCTATAACAGGTGTTTTACGGTAAAAGGAGAATTTAGCCGTTTTAAGCAGCGAATCTTAAAATGAGGCATTTTTGAGATTTTCAGAAAAGCCCCTCTACTAGAAGGGCCCTCCAAAAAGGCTTGGAGAAAAGGGCACCTGTTTAGAGGGTCTCCCTTCAAAATATGTTGTTTGAATTTGAAAATTTCGGTACGGTTTCAGTGAAAAATATTTCGAAAATTCCATAATTTTACAGAAAATATTTGAAAACTCTTTTTTTGCTTAAAAACTTGCTCAATTTTGGTGAAATTGATAGTTTTTCATTCCTTTTGAACGAGAATTCCGGGAATCTTTCAACCAAAAATTTGGCAAAAGATGGCCGGAAAAAATAAAATGACCCCTCTAATAGAAGGGCCCCTGTAATAGAAGGGTCCTCTCGAGGTAAAAGCAAGAGTCTGCCCTATCAATACAGATTTAGATATCAAACCCTAGGTTTCATTTTGTAAACTGAATAATGAGAATGTCATCGGTGACCCCAAAAACGGGTAACCCAAAAACACAGCGGGGGTGTCCATGTTTTACCAGGTTACACATGTTTTCTAGGTCATCAAAATGTTTCCTTTATTCGGGAACGGGTTGGGAGTGTGTGCATTCCAAGTTTTGAAAAAAAAACGAAAAGAGCTGAACCATAGCTACCGTAATCCAAAAGATTTAGTCCTCACAAAGATCGCTCAAACATGTGGAAATGGTATAAAAATCATCACATCCTATTCTCGAACGAAAAAACCTTGTAAGCGGGGGCCAATTCAGTTCTCGAGACGAAAGCGAATGGGTATAGTCAATTATGTGATAGCAAAACGCGAGACAAAACGCCATCTATCAAGAAGGAAGAGGTCGTAAACCATCCGGCTAATTGATGATTTCTCCAAGAAACAACAATATTGATTACAGTAAGACATGGAAAAAAAGGAGTATAAGAAGAGAAAGATCATGTTCGAGACTACACATCTGAACGCTCATTTATTGCATTACACAATCTTCTTCACTGATCTTTTTCTAAGCTGTTCTTAGCCAACCACATTGCATTTGGAAAAAAACGAATAAGAAGAGATTCAGATGAAGATGAAATAACAGTTTGTAACTTTTTCCTCTCTTCCTCATCATCTTCTAGACAAACCAGAAAGTGTTTTTAACATAATATATCCGATGGCAAAAAAGAGAAACCCAAAAAAAGAAGAGGAATTGGTAGAATTACTTAAGAAGGAGAAAAAGGTGAGACCCGTCTACTTGTAGTTTTACATACATTGAAAACACCACATTAACAAACAAATAAATAAATGAAGAATTGAATAAAAAGACGACAAAAAAATGGTCATTCTCGGTAGATCTCAAGGTCGATTTGTTGAAAAAACGGAAGAAATTGGGTTGGTTTTACCTCGTCTTCTCATTTACACACAATCAGATGATGTTCTTCGACGTCTTCTTCTAGAAGCCTCTAGTAAAAATAAATGATTTATGTCTGTTGTTCTTGGAGAAAATGGTGTGAAGTTGTAAAAGTGAATTGGGGAGGGCGTGGAGAAAGCAACAAACAGAGACAAGAACCGTCTCTCTTTTCTATTCGAACCATTGTGCTTGTTTTGTTTGCTACCAAAAGTGGGTAAGCGGCATAGCAGAAGGACAAAAAATACAGGCTTCTGGTGCAGGAATGGTGGATCTCGTGGGCAGGAGAAGTGGACGATGACG